TATTATTATTTAATGTTACTTAAAAACGGTAGCTCTTCAGGGTACATACGCACCTGCTTTTCAAGAGGCCGTTCGACTAAAAAAAGCAGTTACAAAATATGAAGAATACAGGTGCAAGTTACAAGCATGAGTGCTACACAATACAGAAGAAAAAACAACTAGAAGCATGCATGAAATTACATAAAGTATATAAAAATTTACTCAACCCCCTTTTAGACGAACTAGTCACAATAGATATAGTATATCATTGTGGAGAATAATGATCAAGAATAGTTTTGAACTTCTGGCTACTAATGCCTAAACCTTTAGCCTCTGGAGGAAAATTATTCCAGTTCCGCAACATGCCAATATCTTTTGAAATTTTAGTTTGTATATTTTCGATTTGCCTTTGCCAAGTGAGATGTTCGTCTATAACAACACCTAGAGTTTTAGAGTAGCTTACTCGTTTAATTGTTATTTCACCTACGTGAATTTCCGGCTCGTTTATTATTTTGGATAGCTTTTGCTAGACCCAATTATCATCTAGGTCTTTTCTTTATTCAAAGTAAGTCTATTAGCCAACAACCACTGTGTATATTCTCTAAGTCATGATTTAAGTGCGCCTGGATTTCTACCGCCGATGTGCCATATGTAGAAATATTTGTGTCATCGGCGAACATGCTAGGAGCCGATGACGACAGGCAGTTTGGAAGATCGTTTTTGTATAACAAAAACAATTATGGCCCAATGTTTGAACCCTGTGGCACACCACATTTAACGATTCTTTTATTAGATAATGTTTGGCTAACTTTGCATATTTGAACTGTATCGGAAAGATAGGACTGGAACCATTCAAATGATTTTTCTCTTATTCCATAATGGTAAAGTTTTCGTAGTAAAATACTGTGATCAACGCAGTCAAATGCCTTTTTTAGATCAAAGAAGATAACACCGTTCAAACTTCCCTTATCCATGTTAATAAACCATTGATTTGTGATGTTAAGGAGAGAAGTCTGAGTACAGTCCATTTTCCTAAAGCCAGCTTGTTGTTGTACGAGTATCTCATTCTTTTCAAGGTAAGTTTCCAGATTTAGCAACGCTTTACAGGATTGAAATTGGCCTGTAGTTATTGCATTATGTCTTGCACCCTGCTTTATGTATTGGTGAGATTATTGGGAATATACCTGTATTTATAGAAGTGTTGAAAATTAATGTAAGTGAATATGCTATTAATAATAATAATAATAATAATAATAACGATTTATTCAACAGATCCATACATATGGCTCTTCCCTGTTAAAATACCAATTAAATACTATATTCTATTCTATAACTATGGACTATAACGTTTAAGTGTTGAAATTAGATAAAATCGATGTTCGGATTAAAAACTAGTTTTGGCGTGCTCTTTCGAATAAAAGTTCTTTAGTTAATTTTAAAAATACTTTGTAATTAGTACAATTCCTGATGTTCTCAGGTAAGGAATTAAAAAGTTTCGCAGCACTATGTTGAAACGTTCCAGTTTCTTTTGGCACGACTAGTCTAACTGCATTGGTTGAGCGCAGTTCTCGAACGCAAGTTTGTCGTTCTAGCTTTAGATACTCTGGCCACTCTGGGAAGTACATGGCTTTGAAACTCGATTTCAGGATGTTGAGGTCTCTTCTTTCGTTAACTGGAAGCCATCCAATTTCCAGGATATCCTTTTGATCTTTAACATATCGACCCAAGACAAAACTAGCAGTTGCAAATTGAACTTTCTGTAAGCGCCTTGATAGAAACTGCGGGAGTGGATAGAAAACACCATCAGCATAATCCAATTTGGATAATATTAGCGTTTCAGCTAACTGTTTTCTAAGGTAATAAGAAGCTAGATGTTTAAGTTTCCTTAATATTTGCAAGGTGGCGTAGAAGGCAGATGTTATGTGACGGATATGGTTGTCCCATTTTAGGTGTTCGTTGAAATGAACGCCAAGCAACTTGCATGACTTTATGCGCTCTAGTTCGTGTTCGTTGACAAATATTCTAGGTTCATAATTTTCCAATTGGTGGACTCTTGACATTTGTTGAGTTGAGAAAAGCATTGCTTTCGTCTTCTTATGGTTTAAGGCAAGGCTGAGTCTTTTAATGAGTCTTTTAGAAGTTTGTTAGATATTCCATCATGCCCTGTTGACTTAGAGACATCAATAGAGGACAATATTTTATGAACGTCTATTACAGTAGCATTCTGCATCTGAAACTGTGAATTACAGTTCGGAAAATATGTCTCAGGTAATTTGAAGATTGTTCCACATTACTGGCTAAATTTACTTCCAATTTCGTTGAAGTAAGTATTAAAGGTATTTGATATAGATGAAGCCTCTGCAACACCGCCTTTGGTTTTCATGCTTAATTTCTGTAATAATAGTCGTCTTCGAACTTTTGTTGCTAAGCTTATTAATTGTTTTCCACATCTGTTCTGGTTTATTTTCGCATTTATTAAGGGTGTTTGTAAAATACTCGGCCTTAGTTCTTTTTATCAGTTTGTTAAGCTCATTTCGCTCTTTGGCAAAAGCGTCATGGAATTGTTTTGATCCAGTTTTTACTACCATTCTTTTCAAAAATTCCTCGGGTTAATTATTAATGTAAGGGTTGTACTCAGTATTAGGTACATTTTTGAACTTAGTTTTATTATTAGTTAAGGATTTCGAATTGTTAGTGTAATTGTAATCTATTTTGTGATTCCTTTTGTCATGAACTAGTTAGTTTTTAAGAAATTCGATATAATGTTTTGCCATAGTACCAGTCGGATTCTTCGCAAAGATCCATTAACTTTGAACTGATATCGAGCTTATTTTTCAATCCAAGTGCATGGATAATAATCGGATATTTAGTGCAAAATTCATCGAATTTAGTATTCCCATCTATCCAGAGATCGTATACAGATCAGGAAATGTTAAATTCAAGACCTTTCTTGGTGGATACTTTTTGAAATTGTTTGGCATTAAGAATTTAACATTTTGTTAGTTGATTTTGTTCATGTCTTATACAAAGGCCAAAGCTGTTTAAAATTAATTAAAGTTGCCGTCTGAACAGTTTAATTTAAAGGTAATCTACAGTCCGTATGTAAACAAAGCCTTTGTTTACATTTTTGTGTCCAACATATTGAGCTTTATTCGACAACTATTTATATTTTCAAGCTTCTAGAATATAATAAATGATCAAGAAACAACAATCAGGCTTTTCACGAACTCAAAACATAGTTAAATTGTTTGTATCATAAAAAGTGGGCTCATTTGTGCACATGCGCAGATCGGACTGTAGATCACCTTTAACGTCACTTTTTCCTGATTTAAAACGCCTTCTTTTCAGGTTTTAGTCCTTCAATGTCCTGATAGATGACCTTGAAAGTCCTAACTAAAAAAAATTTAAGGACTTTCAATCACTTCTTTATAAACTCAAGGACTTTCAAGGCCTTGAATTTTTGTTTTCAAATTGAAGGTTCATTGTCGTAAAGACGATGGCGAAAAACATAAACGGCGCTAAGAAAAAAATAATTTCAAACTTTATATTTTTTCATGATTTCGCAATCGAGTTATTGAGCACGTGAACAGTTGGCGGAGCACGAAAAATGAAGAGTTGGACAAACGCCACCGGAGGTCAAGTGGTTTCCCAACCTCCCTGCCAATCCATAATGTGTTTGAGCACACCAAATAATTAAAAATACTTTTATAACACATGATTTCATCAAACAACAACCAGATGATCTTGATACGCGGAAAAGTACTGGCACTAGTTGTCAAATAGAAATCCATTTTATGATTAAAACAACTGAATATCTCCTGTAATATACTTTATTTCGATTCCATATTTTTGTCAGAGCTATAGTTGTCATAACCAAACATAATTACAAAATTTCAACTAGTTTCAGAAAGAATAATGAAAGATATAATTGACTGAATACATCAAAATGGATTTCTATTCGGACAACCCTTTCTGAGCGCTGATAGGCTAAAATACGAACACGAGATCACCTGGAAGGATTTTTCTTTTGAATTTTCAATTTCTCCTAAAGCAAGAAAAATTCTAAAACATTCCTGATTGGCCGTCAGAAAATCGGCTTATCGGACATTGCTCGCTTGCATGGCAGGCGGAATGCAAAGGAGGCTTCAAAATATCAAAATAATTGTATTTATATTATCAACCATATGAACGTATTCATTTAAACGCGCACGGAATTTCACCATTTTCCTACAATTCATCTGCAGCTGGGAATACAATAGTGTAGTGATCATGACTGGTCACTTGCCTACGCCATGTTGCCATGATTTTTTAATGTGTCACTAACTTTTTTGGCTTTAGCCATACTTTTATCCCAATCCAACGGCGCGGAGCGTTGTCCCAACGGCACGGCTATTCCTACACCAGGAGAATAAGAAGTATTAGAGCCAAAAGTTAAGTCTAAAGTTCAGCAATATTTTTTTAATTGCTTATGAAGTTGCTTATTGAGTTTTTAGCTGTGTAATATCCCTTATTAAGTCCCACCAAAACAATACATGAAATACAAGACAAGACTGGGATAATTGATTATATTAGCGCATTTGGTGGCTGGATATTTGGTTTAGCATTTCGTGCGACGTGTGACAGACAGTATTTGCACATGGTGTATTTGAAATAAATCGTTTATTGTTTTGCTTGCTTCTATTCGTAAACTATTTTTAATCAGTTTAAGGTTTTAAGATAGAAAAATATTATACTTTGGCCCGTTTAAAATTTTTTCGGCGTATTTGAGGCATTTTGAGCCTCGTGTTCAGTGTAGCTAATGACGAAATTGACCCGATGAGTCTAGCATTTCGACTATTAGACAAAGTAAGTCAAGTAATTTAAACATGGATTCGAACAAACACGATAGAAAACAAAGGAGAAAAGAAAGTCAATCAACCAAAACTCCTATTGAATTTTCCAAGGGCAAGGCCAAAACCAACAATAGACAGCATACAACAAATGCAAATTCAAACGATTTATTTCAAACAGGCTCAAAGAATAATAAGTCTGCGGGTAAACTTGTTTTCATCGCCGGGGACTCAATACTACAACATGTTCACGACTGGGACTTGTCTAACGATAAACAACGTGTATCTGTAAAGTCCTTTTCAGGGAGTAAAGCTGAAGATATGCAAGATTACATAAAACTTTTACTACGCAAAAAGCCCGACGAGATAATATTGCATGTAGGCACTAACAATATTAAAGATAACTCCAAACGGCAGAAGTGGTTGCTGCGGGTATCTTAAACCTCGGAACCCAAATAAAGGATAGTTTACCATGCACTAACGTATGTATATCGGGCATTATTACCAGGAAAGATAAAGCTAATATCCAGAATAAAATTAAAACTGTAAATGACATTCTTAAACGGGTCTCTGACCAAAACAAATGGACCTATATAGACAACACTAATTTATATTATACTTGCCTAAATAGAGGTGGCCTACATTTAAATAGGAAGGGTAGTAGCACTCTTACTAGAAATTATAGTAATCACTTTAGTCGTAATTGAAATAAGGCATGGCCAGGTGCTGTAAGGTATGCTCAATTTAACCCATATTTTCCTGATTTGAAGGGTTTCAAAATGGGTATGCTTAACATAACCAATTTACCTAAGCATATTGACGAAATTAGAATCATATTAGCCGATGAATGTCTCGATATTCTTGCATTAAATGAGACAAGATTGGATGATACTATTAATAACCAGGATATGTGCATAAGTAATTATGATCTTATTAGGGTCGATCGTTCTAGAACAGGGGGAGACGTCTGTTTATATGTGAAAACTTCCTTTAACTATTTAGAACGAAAAGATCTGACTATAGAGATAATCTCGAAGCTATATGTGTTGAGATTCGCAAACCTTCCACTGCACCATTTATTGTCGGTACTATTTACATACCTCCAAGTGCTTCTGTTGACTCTTTTGCCACAATTGAGCAATTAGTAAAAACAATAGATGATGAAAATAAGGAATTTTACATACTTGGTGACTTAAATGCTAACATGCTTGACACCTCAAACAATGCCACAAAGAATTTAAATTCAATCATGGAATTATATCAATTATCGCAAACGATAAACACACCTACCCGTGTGACCACGACCTCATCCTCAATAAAAGACGTTTGTCTTACTCCCACTCCAACTAAGTTAATAACATCACAAGTAATACCAATTGCCATTAGTGATCATTACATGATCTTCGTTTTTCGTAAAATAAATATCCAGCGCAAACAAAACAGTCACAAGAAATTTGAAATTCGAAATTTAAAATATTTTAATGCTGAGAGTTTCCAAGCTGACTTGCGTGGTCAGGAATGGGAATTATTAGATAACAATCTCTGCGTTGATAAGATGTGGGACACATGGAAAACACTTTTCGTACAAGTTCTTGATAGGCATGCCACAATCAGGGAAAAGAGAGTTAAAAGTAAACCACATGTTCCTTGGCTCACTAGTACAATTAAAAAACAAATCCGCGAACGCGATCGCCTTAAATCTCTTGCTATTAGACATAAATCGGAAAATTACTGGAACGCATACAAAACCTCTAGAAATCGCGTAACTGATGCATTGCGAGAAACAAAAGCAGCATATTATAAAGGAGAAGTTAAGAAAGTCAAACATTATCCCAAACAAGCATGGAAAACTGGGAATAAAATCCTAAACCGTAAACAAGAAAGTAGAGAAATAAATTGTTTTGAAACACAGAGAGGACAAATTTCACATCCAACGGAGTTAGCGGAGTGTTTTAATAATTATTTCACCAATATTGGTCCAGATATTGCCAAAAATATCGACAATGGTGACAGAAATTTCAAGGATTACATCATTACAACAACTAGTAGCTATAATTTCCAAACAGTGTCTGAATCGAACGTATACAGACTTCTGTTATCTCTAAATCCTCGTAAATCTACTGGAATTGACAAAATCCCTTCTAAAATTTTTCGCATTGCTGCTCCTGTAATTACAAACTTATTGACAAAAATTTTCAATATGGCTATTATAAGTGCAACTGTTCCTTTTGAGTGGAAAAAAGCAAGAGTCACTGCCATATTTAAAAACGGCCCACGAAACTTATTAAACAACTATCGCCCCATTTCTATCCTCCATGTAGTAAGTAAACTTTTTGAAAAAGTATTATACGAACAACTCCATGAGCATCTTGTTACACAGGAGTTGTTGTCCCCTAAAGTTGGCTATGGCTTGATGTTTTTTATTGATTTTAGGTTTGTTTAACGATAATTTATACGCATACAGTACTTAAGCAGCGCGTAATTGAACACATTCCACTTGGTCTTGAAAATATATATTCTTGCTTTATAGTTTATATGCTTTAGTGAATATTACTTTCATATTAACATTAACACGCAAGTAATAAGTATTCAATGAGACGCACATGTTTAATATATCTGTCACCTGCATGTGATTGCCCTTTAACCCCTGGTGTTGGCAACAACTGCATTGCTTTTCTCTCAGTTATGTACTCATGGCATGAATCGATTCCGTATCCCTTAAGCTTCGGCCATGGTGCTCACCAGTCGCTGGCACGCTGCGAGTAATAACTGTGCTTTATATAATTTGAACTATTTAGTTCTATTTTCTCTTAATGGCCGCAGCAATCTACCTTCCTTGCAGGTACCCTAGTTTATAATATAGCATTTGTAAATTCTGAACGCTGATTGGCTATTAGAGCCATGTTGATAAAACTCAATGTCAACATATATATATATATATATATATATATATATATATATATATATATATATATATATATATATATATATATATATAAAATATAATAAACACGTTCCAGAGCTAAATGCGATATTCTATTTAGCAATTTTGTGGACAAAATCTTTTTATTACGAGATTTTAGCCACAAATTTAGATTTCGTTTGGACATTTATGACCAATTAATCCCACTTTTTCCAAAGAAGATTCTTTCTCAGGAGAATTACGTTAATCCGTACATAATTTTGCGTTGTTCCACTTAATTTACGTTTGTCAAAACTCTTTGTTATTAATAGCATTTGTAAATTCTGAACGCTGATTGGCTAAGAGCTGTGTTGATATAACTCAATGTCAACACGGAAACGTCGGAAAATTTCTTTCTTTATGTTTCTTTGTGCTATATTATAAAACAAATATAAAACATTTTTTCCGTATTGACATATAAATATATCAACACTCGTGGAAATTGGGAAAACTCGAAATTGTGTGAAAACACTCCGCCTTTCGGGCGTCGTGTTTCCACACAATTTCTCGTTTTCCCAATTTCCACTCGTGTTGATATACCTGTATATCAACACGGAAATGTTTTATATTTTTTAAATATAAAACACTTTCCGTGATGATATACAGTTACACATCAATACTCGTGGAAATTGGGAAATATCAACACGGAAAATGTTTTATATTTGTGAAATATACCTTATATATTTTTAAATATTAACTGCGGCCAAACTCTGCACCACCCAACCCCCACGCCAGTCCAACAAGACCAAGACCGAAAAAAGCACAATCTCGATATCGAGCACGCGTTTCGGGGAATCAACAATTTATTTCTAATTTCTTTTTGCAAACGCCGCAATCGCAGCGCTTAAAATATTTTTAGCAAACCAATGGTTAAAATGGTTCAGATTGAAAAACTAACCTACCATCAGGGAGATGAACGGACTTTCCAATCATATTATGCTCATAAGAATCAAACTTGACTATTGGGAAACTAACTGTGAATAAAAACATACAGATTAATTAGTGACCGACGTACATGTATGTATTGCATCGTGAAGAACATGAATAGAAATTGTAAGTAACGCGATGATTGGGCAACAGCGAAACTTCTCATTGCCGAGATAGGCCGAAATATAGCCTATCCTGATGCGATTCTGAGCATGCTTCTATTTCTATCCAAATAACCATGAGCATGCTTCAATTTCTATCCAAATAACCCTCTTGCACTCAATCGTGTGACCCTGAATCATCGTTGTTAATCAGTACATTTTGTCGTATATATATATCGTTTTTATAAAATCTAGTTCGTGTTTGAAAAATTTCAACTTTTGGAGAATGAGTTGTATCTCGTATAAAACACTGCTCTCCATTACATGTGTGTCACCTTGATTTGTCAGGTCCACATGCCCTTTTCCTGTTTTTTGACTTTTTTCGTTATCATCTTTTTGGCCCTAGACAAAAAAACAGGATTAGCCTATTTATATCATCCAGTGTTTACATGGTTTCTTGCAATGCAAGACAAAGTATCTCAATTACAATTCATCATTGAACACACTATTTAGCTCGCGTATCGTATCGTAGAAAATTATTTTAAGACATTAGCCTCATTAACATACGTTGGTTCTCATGCGGGGCGTCGTCAATTTATATACAACGTATTCACAAGAAAATACGTAGAGACAAAGAAAAACTATTTACAAGAGTGCATGCTGAATACAGGAGGTATGACTCGTATACATTAACATTAGTAGTTTCTCTACAGCGAGTTGTATAAATGCATGACAGGCCATTTTTTTTGTTAAATGACTTCCAGATTGCTGTAGGTCTAATAAAACATTTATTTTATTTATATGGTAATTCCAATCCATTGCAAAAATGCCCTTCCCGTTAATGTAAACGGTAAAAATTATATTGGTGAAATTTTACACCACAAACTAAAAGCACATGTACAGTGAATTTTGAATCCATAATTGCGCGTAAACGTGAGAATATATTCCTTAATACGGATATTGATCATGATGGTCGCTTTGAATCTTCAGGTATTAAATTGCACGGTAATTTTATTGTACCGATTCTCTTCGGTTGGAACAACGTATATTTATATATAACTTCCGATGAAATTTCTCGTCCGTCTTCTACTACTTAAAGGATTAGTGTCACACCAGGAATGCGCACGCTCAAACTCCTGCTGGCGGCCATTTGACGGGACGAATAGATTAGATGATCTGGAAATTGTTTACAATCCGTCATATATTTGAACCATCCTTTTATAATCCTTGCTCTTTTTGTCTGATCCGGAACATTTTTGTATGATTGCGAAAATTACGGGATATTAGGGAAAATTTTTTTGTATGTCCGGGAAAAATTTTTGTTGACCTCCCTCCCCCGCTCTCCAACACTTTTTGGGAGAAATATTAATTAGCGACGATCGGGCTAACTAATACTGCGCCCCCCCCCCCCCAAACAAGATTAGGCCCGTACGCCCATGACTTAAATAACCAAACATAATAAAAGTAAAAAAATATTAGCTAACGTTTCGTTGCTTACAATACAACATCTTTAGAGTAATCTAAATGAATTTACAGGGTATGGTATATATGAGTTTCTGCTTATTTTTTAAGGTAGTAATACAACCACTCAGCACAGCATTTTCACATTGGTACTACCAACACTGGTACAGACAGTTTTAGTATATGGTATATAGCTATATTTCCAAAATAATGGTTTACTATTACAAAAATGATTACATAGTTTGAAAGAACATACACTTATCAGTAACTAGTTAATAAGTAAATATTAATGTTAAGTGCATGCATGGTTAGTAGAGTTAAGGTCAATATTACATAACTAAAATAACTCAAGAGGGGTATATATAGATCTAATAT